ATATATATATATATATATATATATATATATATATATATATATATATATATATACAGTTTGAACCAAACCTTAGTTGTTTGGCTAATATCATATCAGGACACACTTCTTAGTAAACAAGGCTGGATCTGAAGGAAGATCTCCATCTGATGAAAGTGGTATAGCTCTTTTTTGGTTATATTTCATATTATCAAGCAAATTATTTTTTAACCAGCACAGAAGCTCTGCTCCAATCTATTCACTTGAATTGTTCCTGCCCAAAGAGAACCATGAACAAGACTGACAGATAATACAAAATCATGTCCGAGAAATAATTAAACAATTTTCAGTATATAGATTGCCTAATCATTTCCACATATAAGGAAGTATCAGTACATGCAATTACTTCATGTATTTACATTACATTTAAAGTCCACATATTGATATCTTGGAGTTTTTGGTCCTCAATAGAGAAATGTTTTCTCCAATTATTTTTTGCAGCAATATTGTTTGCAGCAATGTCACCTGACACAGATCATACCAGATCAAAAGAAGGCAACAACAAGAGTTGAGACTTTTTTTTCATAAGTTCTCTTCAATAATTTTAAGCACAACAAACCCTGACGATATTCTGCACGGCAGTCTCAAACACAAAGTTACTGTTATCAAAGGCTATATTATATTTATAGGAATTAATTCAAGCAGAACAACTGCAGTCCTATGAACATTATCAATGATGATAAGAAATTTAAATTAAAAAAGAATAAATCATAGAAAGGTATCAATGTCAGCAGCACCCATGCTTGTTTAATATCCTGATTACATTTAATTGTTAGATTTCCTTTATTAGTGTTAAACATTGTTCTACGTCAAAAGAGAGCTTTAAATACCTGGTTGGCAAATGCTCTCTGGGTCTTCCTGTAGCAGAGTAAATCACACAGCCTGCTCCAGAGGTATGAAACGACCAGACACATGCTGTTGACTAGCCAAATGTCTGTCACTGAGACTAAATTCTTCATGACTTTCAGTCTATCACTCATCCTATCTCTACAGCCTTGCTTTACCTTCTATCTTTATCTCAAAAAGGGTCCCTTGGAGGTTTGGAAGATGAGCCTCAAGAGATGTCAGGACCTCCTTAGTGTAAGGAACACCCAGAACTAAGGACTAGATTATCCTCCTCAGCCTCTATTAATTCAACCAGCCACTTCAATTGACACTTTGCGTGACGGTCGGCGTGTCCTTGTTACAAAGGAGTGACAGGTGTCACCAAAGAGTGCTGTAGAACCAAGCTGTTTCTCCCACCGTCCACAGTCACTATATTAGTCTGTAAATGTTATGCTCTATCTGCTCTTAGAAGCTATGAACTAAAATCTAAAAGCAACTGAGCAATGTATGTGAAAAATAAAAGAATTCCAGTTGTTATCTCCTTGTCATCACAAACAGCTGGAGATACAATGAACAATCAGCTTTCACCATTTCAGCACTTCTGCAAATGTCAAACAGTAACAGTTTAAATTATTTTAGATTTTTGTAGAATAATGGATCTGAGTATTGAGTGATTAAAAAATGTAAAAATCGAAATAAACCTCTAGGTCAAATCTTAAAGAATTTTCCACGACTTACCATAATGATCTACAGCAGAGACTCGTTTCAAGAATACATGTGATCACTGAGTGGCAGTGACAGATTGAATGGAAAGTTTACCACCGTCTCTGCCAATTTAAAACAATGGGTATATATTTAGGTGGACTTTGCTCTCTGGTTGCTTAAAGATGCTTTGAAGAAAAAAAAACAGTTTTACTTTTAGTTTGCTTTGTTATTCCCAGTGAATCTGTTTTACAGTATTTCAGTTTTTATTTCACAGTATTCCTTGATGTTTTTGACTTTTTATGAGTCTTTTAAGATGGACATCTCAAAAGCCATTAATTAGTATGAAACGCTTTTTTGCACTTTTTAAAACTGTCCAAATCTGTTCCTTTTTGCTGAGTGGTTGTTAGATTTTGCCTGACAGATTCAGTTTATGTTGCTGTTTAGCAAAAAAGTTACCCATCCATCCATTTTC